AGACTGGGGGCAATGAACACAGGGGTGAAAGGCAGGATAATTCAGAGTGGCTAGAAATAGCATGGTGACTTCACTNCCGCAATAGGCATGTGTCCTCATGCCCCAGAAACTAGACTGAAAGGGGCCTACCTCTTGGAACTGCTGGAGAGGGACTGTGGGTCCCCACCTTAGACCTTTACTGTCCCTTAGAACATTCACCAGCTTATGGGGAAGACAGAGTGGTTAAAAGACCAAGGGGGCTGGAATTCCAGCGGTGCAGCTGGCCTGGCTACATGACAGGTGGATTAAAGAGGATTTTCCTGCTCTGGGCCAACCCTCCTTGGGCAATTCAATGCAGTTCCACAAGGACCTCTAGCGGCTGTCTAGTCAAATTACAGTTTCCCGGGCTCTTCCACAGCTGGCTGCCTGGGCTGACCTCTGGGCAGGTTCAACCCTGCCCCTCCACGGCACACACCTAGCACATGATGGGAGAGGGTTTCCTCCAAGGCCCAGTGAAGACCCGTGACTGACCCATGACAGGGGAGCCCTTCCTGCAGTGTTATTACTGAGAAAATGGCTGGCTCCTTGCTCCTCTACATCCTGACCAGTGTATCCACGTCACGAGGGGCTGTGGGCTAGCCCACATCGTGATGGAGACCGAATAATGCTAACAGACACGCCTCCCATCCTAGGCATCCTCCCCAGCTAACTACCAACGGGACCCTCTGGCAGAGCATTTGCATAGGGCGCTGGCAGCGTTTGAGCTGGGATTTGGAGGCTTCGGAGCTCACTCTCTCTGCCACGCGCTACTGGCCCCGAAAGATGTCAGCATACCACTGTGAAAACCTGGGGTTTTCTTACATAGAAAAAGAATTTCTTGCCAATGATTTTTTTTACTGCATGTCTTTAATACAAATGGCAAGACATTTCTTCAAAAGACCCAGACATCACCAGCAGATGAAGGGTCATTGGATTCTTAGGGAAACAGCTAGATTTAAGGACAGGGCCTGACAGGCAACTGTGTGAACTCCCCCAACCTGACTATCTGGGAACTCCAATCTTCTCCCCAAAGTAAGAAAAATAATATGTGTTCCATCTACTTCTTGGGCTTGTTGCAAGGATTAGATAAAAATGCTGTGAATGAACCTATTTTATAAAATTAAGTCCTATGACAATCATAACATTTATTTTTGAGAAAACTCAACTTATAATTACCAACTGATATTCGAATAAAGGAAAGAAAAGCACCGAGTGTTTATTGAGTTTGACTCAGCAGGTAAAGAATCTGCCTGCAAAGCAGGGGACACAGGAGACTTGAGTTCAATCCCTGCGTCGGAAAGATCCCCTGGAGGAGACAACGGCAACCCACTCCAGTGTTCTTGCCTGAAAAATCATGCGGACAGTGTAGCCTGGTGAGTTAAAACCCAAAGGTCACAAAGAGCAGGACGTGACTGAGCCACAAGCACACAGGTAGTGTTAGCATCCCCAGATGGGTCAGCGGGAAAGAATCCGCCTGCCAAAGCAGGAAACGCAGATTCGATCACTGAGTTAAGATCCCCCGAAGGAGGAAATGGCAACCCACTCAAGCATTCCTGCCTGGAAAATCCCAGAGGAGCTTGGACAGAGGAGCTTGTCAGGGTACAGTCCATGGGGTCACGAAGAGTCAGACACGACTGACACACACATACACCACTACATAAGAGCTGCCAACTAAAATCACACAGTACTATTTTTACCTATAAATTCAGTGTAGAGTGAACACTTTCATAGACTGTTTGCAGGACTGTTCATTGGCACAAAGTCTTAAGGGCATGTGTAATAGATTTCACCAGCTTTTGGCTTGGGAATTCCACTGCTGGGAATCTCTCCAAGGAAACAGGTGTAGGAAATACTTCATGCATAAAGATTTCTCCCTTATAACAAGGAAAAATTGGAAGTAATTTAAATGGTCAAATACTGGAGAAAGTGGTAACAGCCCTTAACTTTGGCCTATCCAGTCTCCCTTCAGTTAACATAGCTTCTTTTTTCCCTTTCAGAAGCTCCACTTCAAAATCTGTCTGATCCACGTGGTTGTGACCAGTGCTGAGCTGAACTGTCAACTGCAGGGAAAGAAACAGGAGACCTGGCCAGTGAACACATTTCCAGACACAGAGATTATCCAGGAATGGCTCCCATGGCTGGGGAAGAGGCATCCTTTTTGCCCTAAGATTGCTGACTTCAGTTAAAACCTACACAGTGAAAAGAGGAGTCAGGAGATGAAGAGCTGGTTCTGAAGGAATATTTTAAGATCAATGAACTCTCCTTTTTGCTTAAACTACTTTGACTCAGGTTTATGTCACTAGCAACAGAGTGCTAACACAGATCATTATTTGGTAGCTGAAAGAGATCAATCTGATGAAACATTTGCAGCCATTCTAAACCATCTTTACGAATGGTTTCTAGTAACATAAGCTTATGGTAAAGTGAAGGACGTGTGATACACAATCAACATATAACATGATCTTTATAGTTAAACATTTCCTGGGAGCAAAGATGTTTTTTCTTTGCTAGTATCAGAATACTAGCAGTCATGCTAGCTGGTGAGATTACTAATTTTTAATCTTTTATTTGTGTATTTCCCATACAAAGATACATGTGTGCAAGCTAAGTTGCTTTGGTCATGCCTGATTCTTTGTGACCCCATGGACTGTAACCCACCAGGCTTCTCTGCCCATGGAATTCTCCAGGCAAGAATACTGGAGTGGGTAGCCACTCCCTTATCCAGGGGATCTTCTTGACCCAAGGGTCAAACTCGGTCTTCTGCATTGCAGGCAGATTCTTTATCATCTGAGCCACCAGGGAAGCCCCCACAAAGATATATATCTTACAATAAGTAGGAAAGTAAGGAAAAATTAAGAAAAAGATACAATTTTACTGATTAATTTATACCTTCCTTAACTTCCAAAAGGACCTCAGTTACCATTGTCTTCTCAGATGAAAATATACAGAGCACCTCTTTTTGAAGTGACAGTTTGGAATTTCCCTTACAATACTGACCTACCAGTTTTGCACCAAGTAGAACGTTTTGTTTTTTTTCCCCCAGTTCTAAATCTGAAAATATGCCTCTCTACAGGAAAGTAGAGTCTCCTCTTCAACGATTTTGTGATCTTCAGTCTGACTATTACTAAGAAGGAAAATGTGACATGAACAACCTCCAGTCAGAATATGTATGCATTGATCTCATGGAGCTGAACCTCAAGTCATAAAGGTCCCCACTCCACCTTATACTTGAAAGGAATCTAAAGCTGAACTAAAAGACAGAATGAACCGTGACTATTGGCCACAGTCTAGTAAAGATACACGACTTTGACCTGCTGAGGACAAACCCAAGGCCAAGACGATGTCACCAGGCACAGCCCCTGGCTTAGAAACTCAGGTTCTTCAGCCACTCCATCTCCCTGCTTCCGGTTTTCTCTTTTCTCCATCAGGGCCTGCCTTGCTTTCTGGGCCAAAGCCAGTCCAAGTCCAAAACACTCACCCCCTCTCTCCTTCGGGTCAGGGTTCTGCCCCAGTTCTGCAGCAGGTAATGAAGCACATGACAGGGAGGGGGAAATCCACGACAGTCGTCAGCAGCAGCACAGACCAGGCCTCAGCTTCTCCCCTTTGCTCTGCTGGGCTACTTCCACTCCAGGGTCATCTTACCGAGGTTATCCATCCCACCCCAGCCCACAGTGGACTCGATCAGCTCTGCCGTACCACAGTCCCCTCTTATCCACGGGTTTGCTTTCTGCAGTTTCAGTTACCAGTGGCCAACCTCAGTCCGAAAATATTAAATGAAAATTCCAGCAATAAACAGTTTGTACATTTTGTGTGTGCTGTGTTGAGTAGCATGATGAAATCTCACACCTGAATCATCCCTTTGTGCAGCAAATTGGCGCTGTATGTACCTGTCAGTAGTAGTGGTCTTGATATCACACTGCTTGTGTTCAGGTTACCCTTATTTTACTTAGGGCAATGCTGGCAATTCCTACAGTCTTTCAGTTCAGTTCAGTCACTCAGTCGTGTCTGACTGTTCGCGACCCCATGCTTTATAAAATAAACTTTATCGTGTGTGTGTATAGGAAAAGAACATAGTACATATAGGTTTGGTATCATCCTGGGTTTCAGGTATCTGCAAGGGCTGGGGACAGTCTTGGAAAAGATCCCTATATATAAGCGGGAAATTATTGTTGTTTGGTCGCTAAGTCATGTCCGACTTTTGTGACCCCATGGACTGTACAGTCTGCCAGGCTCTTCTGTCCATGGAATTTCCCAGGGAAGAATACTAGAGTGGGACAGTGGGTTGCCATTTCTTTCTCCAGGGTATCTTCCTGACCCAGGGACTGAACCTGTGCCTCCTGCATTACAGGCAGAATTTTTTCGCCACTGAGCCACTTGGGTAAGCATGTGGAAGATTACTGTTCAAAAGACCAGCATCTGCACAAAAAGTGGTCCACAGTGCCCCCTGGTGATCAATCAGAACATAATGGGGACTTAATTTGCACATTCAGTTAAAAAGGAAGCCACAGCATCTTCAGTGAAAAAGTGGTTGACTCTCCTCTGTGATAATTGGATCTTACTTGAATATAGGTATTTTTACATGGTACCAAATAATGAAGAGAAAACTCACAATAACTGAGTAAAGGGAGAAATACAGATAGACACTATCAATTTAATTCTATCACAAGTTACCTTGGCACCCAAGGCCCTGAGGAAAGACCCTTGACAAAGACTGCATTCTGGTAAACCTCCAAATTTTAAGACATAATGAACCATTTACCAATAGGGAAAGGGTCAAGTTATTCACTTTAAGCTTTAAATCAGCCAGAAGTTAATTTAACAACCTGCTAAAATAAAAACACAAAGGGATTTCAGCAGTGGACAATGAAAAAAAAGTGCAATAAATATTACCATCTCTGTGTAAGAAAATAAATACAACACATTTCATGAAAATAATGCTTTTTATTATTAATGCTNTATTTATCACTTTAGACTTGAAGAGGTTTTTTTTTGTTTTTTTAAGTTCTGTATAAGAGATAGTTTGGCCTTGTGTTGGATTAACAACACCCAGGACTGTCAAACATAAGTGGACCATGAGTGGGATGCTCCATTTGTGTTTCATCATTGTTTGTTTGTCTTGGCAAGATTTATTCAGGTGCATTGTAATAGGAGCCCTTAATACAGACTCAGGCAGCAGCTGTGGGGGCGTGACCCTCTCCCCAGCACAGTGGATTTCAGGAATTAAGAACACATACTTGAGTACTTTCAAATACCAATGGTCAATTTAAAACTGGTAACTGTTCCTCTTCAAGGAGCACTGTTGGCAAACTATTTGGAATTAATGGAATAAAACGTTGATCATAAAGAAAGACACGTCTCTATGAAAATGGCTTCAAAATATTAAAAAAATATATATATATATCTCTCCAACAATCTCATCTTCCAAGAAATCCAGTAATAATCCAACTCAATTCTGTTAGCAAGCAAGCAAAGAAAGAAAACTGGCTAATCTTCTGGCAAACTTCCCATAGAAAAACAATAAGTGCTTCAAATCACTGTGAAACTTCCTAAGAAATTTCACGCATGAGGTTAAATTCACCATATGCTGCTTCACCTAGAGAGGGGAAGAGAGAGGAAGAAAAATTATTTCATTAAACAGAGTTGACAAATCAGAAGTTAACTCATTCTTGGGAAGGGCTAGAGACACTTCTGATCTAAAAGTTTTAAGATCTCAAGTTAATTTTGGGCACTTAGTGTAGTAAAGAAAAATCTGGGTTTGCTAAAATGCAAAAAATTCATTACTGAGTCCTGGTTTAGGGTCAGGCCTAGGGTCTTCCTCTCAGCTCTCATCCCACCTCTCCAAATATGACGCTGATACACTTTAGTAAGCACTGCCGGGACAAAACACTGGTCAGCAGCTGTGGCTACTGTGATCATCACATTCGAGAATATTGGAAGAGTTAAAAGACAAATGAGAGCAGAAGGGGTTCCCAACATTAGAGCAAAAGAGCAGCATTCATCCAGCACTCAGCCAGGAAGGTGACCTTGACCCATTTTCCTATTGTGGCCCTGACCATGGCCATCAGGAAATCCATCTCCAGGTAAGGGAGAGCGGGCAAGTTGCAATCCACTGACCTCTCATTACCTCTGTCTTTGGGTACCCCAGAGGCCTGCTGCTCAGACTTAACAGTGAGAGGAGGCAATTGCTGATACTTATGAGAAGAACTGCTTACCCAAGCACATCTACACATACTTCTGGTAAACATTACCAGCTTCCATTCAATATGAGTCTAGCAAGACAAGGACTATTGTACACTCTCTTGGACTATTAAACAGTCCTGATGGCAAACCTGGTGGGTGGAATGGTGGGGGACCCACTCCTGGACTCTGAAATGGGTAGGAGTCATAAGCATCTGTTCCAGGTCACATTCAAGGCACTGCCCATTCCTAGGATTCTTGCATCCTGTCTCAGGAGGGGTCACACCCTGGGCTAGTCTTCTGCCCTCCTCCCACAAGGATAGGAAAAAATGCTCCCTCTTATCTCCAAGCTGTAGAAAAGGCCCATTCATCTATGTTAATATAGTAGAAACCTCAAATTTATCTTTTTCATTGACTTATTCAATGTGCAGACTTATGGGTTTTCTTTTCCAGTTTTACTTTGTTATTAAAGCAAACATTGCCTTCAGGCATGTTATTTAGACAAAGATAACTGTACTTCAGAGACTGTTACATCCTGTAAAGTGAACTTTAACCTTGAAGAGTTGGCCTGTCATCTTACTGACGGTCCTCCTTGATAATTTGTTGCCCAGCCATAATGTTATAATTGCTACCTCTGTCTTCCTTCCTGAAAAGATGGCTTTTCAGGTCCAGAACACAATCACTGGCCTGGGCCTCTTCTCTTGCAGGCACAACAGCAGAATAAATGCCATGACTGACTCTTCTTTGTTGTTGTTAGATTCTTTATTCAAACAGGGGGCTTCCCTGGTGGCTCAGAGGTTAAAGTATCTGCCTGAAATGCGGGAGACCTGGGTTCGATCCCTGGGTCGGGAAGATCCCCTTGAGAAGTGGCAACCCACTCCAGTATTCTTGCCTGGAGAATCCCATGGACGGAGGAGCCTGGTGGGCTACAGTCCACAGTCGCAAAGAGTTGGACACAACTGAGCGACCTCACTTTCACTTTTCTCATTCAAACAACATAATCAAGAATCTTTGTCTCAAAGGATCAGCCTGACAAGTAGCCAGTATTTATTAAACACCAACTCTGTGCCATGCACTCTCCTAGGTTAAGTTTGGAATGAAAAACCAAAACTAAAACCTGAGTTTTGCTGTGAAGAGATTTACAGTCATCATGGAAAGGCAATGATTCACCAATAGAACTGTTATATAATATAATAAGGCAGAATACATGAATGCTGAGAATTTAAGCCCAAACCTGAGCTGCAACCTACAAAGTCTAGCTTAGCATGGACACTCTCATCTCCACAAATAGCAGCCAGTCTGTTGCAAGCAGAAAGTGTTTAAATGACACCAGAGTTGGAGCCTGGTCAGCTGCCAGTTTGGAGAAGGAAACGGCAACCCACTCCAGTACTCTTGCCTGGAAAATGCCATGGACGGAGGAGCCTGGTAGGCTACAGTCGGTGGGATCACAAAGAGTCAGACAGGACTGAGCAACTTCACTTTCACTCTCAGCTGCCGGGGATGGATGTAACCAGAGGGCAGCAAAACCTCCTGGTTAGAAACAAGGTGAAGGTTCCAGAGCTAGAGTGCTGGGCTTTGAGTCCCAGCACTACTGCTTCCTAAAACTTTAAGCAAGTCTCTGACTTTTCTGTGCATCAGCTCTCCAGCAGAAAAAAAAACAAGAAAAAAAGACTACCTAACTCATAGGACTGCGGTGAGAGTTCAGTGAGTTCAGACATGGGAAGCCGCCAGTAAGCGCAGCCCACAATGCCCGACAAACGCTACCGCTGCTGCTGTTACTGTCATCACCACCCGCGAGGCCTTGAGGCTGCCAGACAGGCCAACGTGACCCGGGTCGCCTGGGAAAAGTACCAGTCCCCTGTATTCCTTCATTTGAACCCTAACCTAATTTCAAAAACCTTGATCACACCCTTCTGTCCTGTCCCTTCCCCATCTTCAGGCTATGTTCTTCTCTTTCTTCTCTCCGATCGCTCCTTCCCTCCAAGTATCCATTTCCTGGCAGGACGGACCGCACATTCCCACAGGCACTAGAGGACCAGGGCCTGCGGATCTGGATCACATGCTCACCCACCATGTGAATCCTTCACCTTGGGTCAAGTGCCAGGTTTGATTCTCGTGAGAAAACGCCATCATGGGTCAGAACTAGGCTCCACAAGCACAGACCTAAGACAGGGTCTTGGGAATTCCCTGGCAGCCCAGTGGTTAGGACTCAACTCTTTCTCTGTTGTGGCGGAGGTTCAAACCCTGATCAGGGAACTAAGATACTGCAAGCCATGGGGCGCAGGGGGAAAAAAAAGTCTCCACCTGGTGTCCTAGTTTGTAGATAAGAGTTCAGGGTGTCTGTGATGGGGAAAAAACTGGCATGGAAAGAGGTTTTCATTTTCATTAAGCTCTAACTGAAATGTATTATTTTTTTTAATGATGAATGTAGGCAATAAACTAAGAGGTGACAGTGTATCTGTGATGGCCACTGACAGAAATATAGGAATTATAGATACTTTCATATCACGGCACTGTTGCTGCCATATGTCTTAAAATATTCAGTTCTCACTACTCTGAAAGTACAGGAAGGTTATGGACTCTCTACTAGAACTTACTATTTAATGTATTCATTAAAAAGCCAACATATTACTATATATCCCATATTTTATATACCCCACATTTTGTAAAATATTTTTATAAATGTATTTCCATATAGTTGGTTTCTTTTGTAATCTTATGTACTTTATGTATTAAAAATATTATTCCTAGGGGAGTCATAGGCCTTACCAGCTTGCCAAAATGATCCATGGTACATGAAATGGTTAAGACCCCTTTGCTTTAGAAGACTGAGGACCACTGATAAGGGCTGCAATATTAGAAAGATGGAAGATGTGTAAATACTTACTGAAATGTGGCGTTATAATATTCTGCAGGTGTCACTATTTTTGGTCCACCAAAGTAGTCCAGGACCCAAATATTGGTTATATTCAACTTAGCGAAGAACCAATTATGGCTGGATGGCCAGGTTTTCATCTCAGGGTGTCGAATGAATAATGAATTCTTTGCAACGTCCATTTCTGTTTCACTCACCTAAAAGATATATATAAAATAAACCTACTCATAGCAATGACATTTTGCTTTCTTGGCTGTTAAGAATGTGTGATTCTAGCATTCCACAAATCCTAAAGAGATTATTTGGTTATAAATCCTGATTTTTTAAATTTTTATTTATAAAATTAATTATTGATCAATAATTGAAATATAACTCTGTATTAGTTTTAGGTGTATACAATATAAAGATTTGACATATGCATACCCTGCAAAATAATCACAAGTTTAGTTAACGTTCATCACTACACATAGTAGTAATTTTTTCTCACCTTTTTTTCCCTTTGTGCTGAGCACTTTTAACATCTACTACAAATCTTGATCTTAAGCCATCAAGAGGCAGTAAAAGAAGCTTGAAGAAATGCAGAGAACAATGGAGATTTCAAATGTTGGTGATAACATATACTATAGTGAAGTGGGAAACCATCATGAGTACCAGTTTTCATTGTGAAATAGCAATTTCGAGCTGTCAGAGTAATTGGCACAAAGTACCATAATAAAATATTGCTGGTGGTTACGCTGTGTAACATTAGCACTTTTATCCCACTGCATGCACATATTAAACACATAGACGGGTGCACATAAAGGACAGAAGTCTTTAGAAGGAGCGCAATGGAACTCAAGTGCATCTGCTGCCCCTCCCCCCGTCTCTGACCACTGAAGAACACTCAGCTCCAGAAACAGAGCCACATAGAATTTTGAGACCATGATTAAAGCCTATCTGAGGTATTCATGATTGACAAGGTCAAGAAGTCTGCCTACTGGCTTAGCAATCAGATCAGTCCTCACAACACCTTGCCCTTTGCCCTTCCCACTGTTTTATTTAACCTCTTCTCTCTGGCACTCACCCCCATCTATCTAAATTCACTTCTAGTATTTAATACAGATACTCTCCCTTGTCTTCAATTTTTAAAGTTTACTTTAATTAGAGGATTCATTGCTTTACAATGCTGTACTGTGCTCTGCCATAGATGCACATGAATCAGCCACAGGCGCACACACCCCCTCCCTCATGAAGCTCCCACCCGCGAGGTCGTCACAGAGCATCGCGCTGAGTTCCCCGTGCTACCCAGCGGCTTCCCATCAGCTCTGTTGTATACGTGGTAATATGTGTATCTCAGGGCTGCTCTCTCAATTCATCCCGCCCTCTACGTCCCCCTCTATGTCCACAAGCCCGTTCTCTATGCCTGCGTCTCTATTCCTGCCCTGCAAATAGGTTCACCAGTACCATTTTTCTAGATTCCATATATATATGCATTAATACACAACATTTTTCTCTGACTTACTTCACTCTGCATTACAGGCTCTAGGTTCATACACCTCACTAGAACTGACTCAAATTCATTCCTTTTTATGATGAATATTCCATTGTATATATGTACACATCTTCTTTATCCTTTCATCTATCAATGGACATCGAGGTTGCTTCCATGTCCTGGCTATTGTAAATAGTGCTACAATGAACACTGGGGTACATGTGTCTTTTCCAATTACGGTTTTCTTAGGGTATATGGCCAGTAGTGGGATTGTTGGGTGGTATGGTAGTTTTATTCCTAGTTTTTAAAGAAATCTCCATACTGTTCTCCACAGTGGCTGTTATCAATCTACATTCCCACCAACAATGCAAAAGGGTTCCCTTTTTTCCAAATCCTCTCTAGCATTTATTGTTTGTAGATTTTTTGATGATGGTCATTCTGATTGGTGTGAGATCATACCTCATTGTAGTTTGGATTTGCATTTCTCTAATAATAAGCAATATTGAGCATTTTTTCATGTGTTTATTAGCCATCTGGATGTCTTCTTTGGAGAAATGTCTGTTTAGGTCTTCTGCCCATTTTTTAATCGGGTTTTTTTTCTGTTGTTGAGCTGCATGAACTGCTTGTGGTATTCTGGAGAGTAATCCTTTGTCAGTTTCTTCATTTGCAATTGTTTTCTCCCATTCTAATGGTTGTCTTTTCATCTTGTTCATGGTTTTTTTTGCTATGCAAAAGCTTTTAACTTTAATTAGATTCCATTTGTCCATTCTTGTTCTTATTTCCATTACTCTAGGAGATGGTCATAGAGGATCTCCCTGTGATTTATATCAAAAAGTGTTCTGCCTATGTCTTCCTCTAAGAGTTTTATGGTTTCTGATCATCTTTAATCCATTTTGAGTTTATCTTTGAGTATGGTGTTAGGAAGTGTTCTAATTTCATTCTTTTTCATGTAGCTGTCCAGTTTTTCCAGCACCACTTCTTAAAGAGACGATCTTTTTTCCATTATATAATTCTGCCTCCTTTGTCAAAGATAAGGTGCCCATAGACGTGCAGGCTTATCTCTGGGCTATCCTGTTCCATTGGCCTATATTTCTGTCTTTGTGCCAGTACCATACTGTACTGATGACCGTGGCTTTGTAGTATAGTCTGAAGTCAGGCAGGTTGATTCCTCCAGCTCCATTCTTCTTTCTCAAGACTGCTTTGGCTATTCATGGTCTTTTGCATTTCTATACAAATTGTGAAATTTTTTTATTCTAATTCTATGAAAAATGCCACTGGTTAATTTGATTGGGATTGCACTGAATCTATAGATTGCTTAGTCATTTTCACAATATTGATTCTTTTGATCCAAGAACTTGACATATCTCTCCATCTGTTTATGTCATCTTTGATTTCTTTCATCAATGTCTTATAGTTTTCTGTATATGGCTCTTTTCTCTCCTTAAGTAGGTTTATTCCTAGGTATTTTATTCTTTTTTGTTGCAATGGTGAATGGGATTGATTCCTTAATTTCTCTTTCTGATTTTTCATTTTTAGTATATAGGAATGAAAGGATTCACATGTATTGATTTTGTGCATACTCCCCTTTTAATATACTTAATCTGCTTTCTGCTCTAAGCCACTGTTAAATACGGAGACAAGGAATCCAAATATGGGAAATACTGTACAGTGTACAACATGGTCAGGAGTATGAACTTTGAGCAGATGTTCCTTATATAGGAGCTTAATAGCTGTTACATCTGTTCAGCTTCAAAAAATAGTTCCTTTTTCTTATTGAACATCTATCTGCTCAACTGAATATTTCAATATCTTATTGAACACCTACATGAAAGTAACCAATTAAAACCTTTAGTTTTTATGAAATTACATATTAGAATATATTCTAACTCTGTACCTCAATCACAAATTTTATTTTATTCTCAAAATATGTCTTCCTTCACTGTTGATGATGATGATCTTCTAAAGCCAGTATCTGTTCTTACACGATATTTACCTTGATAACAGTTCCTGATAGTATTATGTGAGCACAGAGGGGACTCTGCGGATCAAATCCATATTTCCTGCAGAAACTAGTCTCTGCCAAAGACATAGTCAACGTAGCATATGGATTCTCCTGTAGAGATAAAGTGAAGACCTCCCATGTGAAATATTGTCTCTGGAGAGGTAATTAATTTCACAAGTTGCATACACATTGTCCCCAGAACTTGATCGTTCTTTCATGAAACAATGAATTGGAAAATACCACCTTCCACTTGGGAAAATTACTACTTGGATAAAGACTGATCTTTATTCTCTCTCCAAAAAAAGTGTGTTGGAGGTTGTTCCGCATTTTAAGTAACCAACTCGGTAAGAATTATGTTAAACACTTCTCTTTTTCTTAGACTCCTAATTTGTCCCATACTTACCAAAGGAATTATAACTACATTATCACCCAAATACAAGGCTGAACTCCAACCTTCACTGAAAGAGCTAAAGGATTAGACTACTGTGAAACTAATGCATAAAAATACCACAATAGTTCAAGTAGCTAATTGTACAATTTAAGCAAGAAAGTAGCTGAATCATGCTTCGTGGTTATCTTATACGAGCAGAAACTATCATGTGATTTCAAAATTGGAGAAGCTGCTCTTTCCTGTTCTAGCAGTAAGAGAATTCTTTAATTAAAAATGTGATATAAGCAAAATTCCTAATTCTTTCTTATTCAGAAATCAGCTTCATAAAAGGCATTGTTGACAGATTACAGCAAAATTCACATGCTACATTTAGTGTTTTAAACTTTAAATGTCTTGTGTGTGGGATTTTGCCATCTCACAGTGACTCATCAAAACAATGAGTCATAAAGAGATCTCTTTGGAATTATTAGGCAAAAATTTGCTGTCAACAAAACCTATTAGGCAAGGCACTAGGGAGACCAAAAATAGGGGACAGGGAGACTCAGACAAGGTCTTTCCCTTCTCTGTGAGTTTATAATCTGGTTGAAAAGTCAAACATAAACAAAGCTTAAAAATGCAAAACAAAGACACAGAAGAGGTCAAAAGGCAGCGCATAACTCACTGCCAAGTGAATGATAGTTAAGCATATTTGAAGTTGTTTAAGGAGACACCAGCACAGCCTGGAGTGATATGGAAACTCTAGGGAGCCTTGTAAGATAGTGAAAATCAGCACAAAAGTCAAAAGATGTATTAAAGGTAAAGTGAAGTTAAGTGAAGTCGCTCAGTCGTGTCCAACTCTTTGTGACCCCATGGACTGCAACCTACCAGGATTCTCAGTCCATGGGACTTTCCAGGCAAGAATACTGGAGTGTGTTGCCATTTCCGTCTCCAGGGGATCTCCCCGACCCAGGGATCGAACCTGGGTCTCCCGCATTGTAGGCAGACACTTTACCGTCTGAGCTACCAGGGAAGCCCGTATTAAAGGTAAAGGCATTGTAATTGCAAAAACACAGAATGGGGAAAGTATACGACAAGACTGTGAGTTGCATGAAAGAAAGCTCTCTGAGGGGAAGGGGTAAGGGACACAGTAGTGAGAGGTAGAAGGTTGTGGGTAGTGAGCGTGCCTCAAGTCCAAGCTAAAGAGTCAAAGCTGTGTTTTATAGGCTGGCATCTGTCAGGGCTTTCCAAGAACCACCTGTCTGGAGAGCGTGTTAAAATGCAGATTTCTTGGTTCCATTCTCAGCCCAGGTACTTGCATTTTTAACAAACACCCAGGTGAATCTTATGTAGCTCTGTTGCCAGATGTTGTTAAAGGTTTCTGGGCAGAGGGCAATGCTGAGTGGTATTTCGTTCATGTTATTTGGGTGGATAGGGTGGATAGAAATAGTCAGGAAGAAGATGGGTTAGAAGGAAGAGAAAAAATGGAAAGCAGAAACCAACTTTGACTGGTTAACTGACAGAATCACAGTCAGACTGATGCTGATGTGGCCATGCCTTTTCACTGCCATCACGGATCTGAAATCCTGGGTTAGTGCCTCATCACTGTCATATTCTAGAGACGTCAAAGACCTGGGCTTGAGTTCCACCTGACAGCCATTAGCTGACTAGTCACAACTGAGTCTCTGCACCTCTGAGTGCGAGTTTACTCATTGCCTAAAATGATGAAGATAATATCAGCAAAAGTTTAAATATAATAGTGTATAGCAGTGGTTCTCACCCCCTCCCAACATTAGAAGCATCAGGAGGGATTTGGGGGGTTGTTTTATAATAAAATGTGTTTTTAGTAATATGCTTTGGAATTGCACTTTAAAAATCTTCCCAGGTGACTGTATTTGCAGCCAAGATGGACCATCACTGATGAAACGGAAATGAACTTGCTCTGAGCAAATGTCTAAGGGAGTGGAGCAGGTGACTGGGAATAAGAAAATGGGGGAACAGGGATGTATATATACCTTAACTAAAGGAGGGTTAGCTCAGAGAATGCAGCTCCCAGTGTCATAGATCTTCCCCTTTTTCAACAAGTTAGAAATTCAGGCTTCTAATTGCAAGCTCCATTTTTGAATGTTGGTAACTAATTCATATTTATTAAAAACAAAACAGAACTCTGCGTGAGCCAAAGAAAACCCATCTGTGGGACATACTCAGCTCACGGACCACCAGTTCGTGACCTGCGTTTTGAAGGCAATAGATCTGGCATGAAATTCCAGTGTGGCCACTGGGCTTAGGGCAAGTTCTTTATCTGCAGAGCCAGGGTGGTAACAGTCACCTCAAAGAGTGATTAAAAGACAGGATGAGGGGAAGATGAAGGGAAAGGTCATCCCGGCACATAGCAAGTACCTCATCAAATACAGGTTTCTTTCAGTGTAATCCATAAACAATGTTAACCTCAAGTCTAGGGATCTTTTGTCAAAAGGAACATTCCCCAAATCTTGCTCCATCCCTGGACTCAGCATAGCTCTAGCCTTCCAGGTTGTGATACCACTCGAAGCATCAGAAATCCACCGGAGAGGTGTTAACTTGGCTCTGCCCCAAAAGGTGGACAAAGGGTGAGGACCTAGTTCTCCAATCCGGTCTGCTCCCTACGTGGGAGGCTGACCTGCACCCGAGGCCTATAAATTTTAGCAATAAGAGCCCAGTTAATGAGACACCGTGCCCCAAGACGACTCAGGTGGGAAGTCGTCCAGGTGCTGGTAAAGAATACACCCCAAGTGCGTGGCACGGTGGCAAGGACGTGTGGGCAATTCTTGGTATTTAGTTGCCCAACAATTGGAAAGCTGTAATGCACGCCTACCCAGCGCAGGAGAGAAGATCCAGAGGTTTGGGCTGGGTTCAAACTCAGCTCTATGAGGCCGGCTCTCCTTTCCAGGCAGACTTTAAGCGGTAGTCGAAAGGCTCGCGCGCGCTCCAGCCCCGCGGAGCCACACCGCCCCTCCGGCTCACCTGCAGGTTGCCCACCGATTGCTGCAGCGGGCTCAGGTAGAAGTAGGGCACGCCGCTGCCCTTGCCCGGGGGCCCATCGCTGAGCGATAAGACGTCGGCAAAGGGCCTGCCGCGCACCCCCTCCTGCGTTGAGATGGTGGCCAGGGCGCCCCAGTCACAGAGGTTTGTCACGAAGCGGGCCACTAGGGCCGCATTCTCCCGGGGCGGCAACGGCGGCAGCAGCTCGGCGGCGCCCCAGTCCCCGTGGCCCCGGCCGCCGCGGCCTCACAGAGACACTTTGGTATTGTCAGGGTTCCATGCACGAATTTGAATTCATCAAAGCCAGTTGTGGCTTACCGGATGGCGCTAGTGGTAAAGAACCCACCTGCCAATGTGTGAAACATAAGAGATGCTGGTTCCTCCCTGGTTGGAAAGATACCCTGGAGAAGGAAATGGCAACCTAATCCAGTATTCGCGCCTAGAGAATCCCATGGACAGAGGAGCCTGGTGGGCTACCGTCCAAAGAGTCGGACACAACTGAAGCAGCTTAGCATCCAGGAGCCAGTTGTGGACCTAACACTTCAGGCTCGGGGGCAGTGGTTTCATCAATGACTTGCCCTTGCTGACCCTCACCCCAGGTAAGTGGCATTTCCTTTTTGCTCCTCCTACAGTCTATTCTAGGGTGATTCCTATTTCTGATACTCTTGGGAATTAATAAGTAACCTCATAACACCTGGTCTGCCTTCTTTATAACTGTAAACTGAAGTCACATATCTCCAGAGTGAGTCCTCATCTCCTTGGCGTGGCCTCAAACCCAAGTTTTCATCGTTGTTATGTATGCCGCGTGGTAGTGTTGCCACAAGAGTTTGTCACTGACCCTGTCAACTCGTAAGCCTTGTAAATCTGGCCTCTGAGGCTGAGATGTTCAACAAAGGTGAGGTAAGTTCCCTCAGCTGCCCTGGGCTGGTCAAGTGAGCAGGTGGGAGCCACAGGTATGTGAGCCGAAGCCCTGTCTCCGTTTCCTGCTTCCAACTCCGCCTCCCCATATTCAGCCGCAGAGATTTTAGGCTACTCAGAACTTGGGCGCAGAAAGGAAATTTACTCTTAGTAGCAGCCTTCAGTTCCCTCTGGTGGCCAAAGGCTGTTACACAGACTGCTTGCTCTTCAAATAAGGGGGTGAACAGTTTAGTCAAGTTGTTTTCCTTTTTAACAGCTGGATTTGGGAGAACTTCAAGCTAAATAGAAAATGAAATGGGAGAAATTTAAGAGGAGGAAGATCAGGTTTATCATTTTCAAGACAAATATTTAATGCAAGTCGATTGAGTGCCTTCCAATTACAAATATTTCATCTGTTACTCTTAAGGAAAGACCATGTGAGTTTCAAATTTGTAGTTCTAATCTCAGCTCTGCTGCTGTCAAGTCATGTGACCCTGAAACTTTTATCTTTTTGTACCTCTGTTTTTATTTCTAAAAGGAAGAGTTGGATTGAATGATATCTGATACATCTTATGGCTCTAAATTCTGTTTTTCTGCTAACATGTGAAACAGAGGCCTTTTCTAACTTTCAGAACATGAATAATTTTTTTGCAAAAAGGTCACAATTTTTTTTTGTTTATTATTATACCGCTGTTGCTGGTATATGGAATAACAGTAAGCCCTATTACTGCCCCATTACAAAACAGATACCTAGAACTTGGTTTCATGCATCTGAGCATGAGAATAAGGTCAAGAAACCCTCTAGTTTTAAGCACCTATCCTCAGTGTCTGTCTGTACACTAGCTGCTCTGCTCAAAATTCTCCTCCCTTGGTCAGCAGAATTGCTACCCTACTCACATATAGATCTCCATTCAAATGTCACTTCTTTAATGTGCATCCTTGACCACTCTTTCTAAGAGGCTTTCCTGGGTTACTCTCTACTAGACAACCCTATGTATTTCTTTCATAGTGTAGTAGTTTAAAACAAGTCACCCCAAGGTATGCCACTTTGGCATGTGAATTTTTTTTTTTTTTTTTTGAGAATTTCATTTTATTCATGAGGCATTTTCTTCCNTAGTTTAAAACAAGTCACCCCAAGGTATGCCACTTTGGCATGTGAATTTTTTTTTTTTTTTTTGAGAATTTCATTTTATTCATGAGGCATTTTCTTCCTAATAAACAATGTTGGTACTTCTTTGGTCCATTCAAGAAGCTCTGATATGATTACATCATTTGATCTAAGATTTTTTTAAATGCCTTTTAACTTCATATCTATAGAACAACATGAGATAATTCAAAGGAATTACAATGCCAAGACTGATCTGCAGTGATAACCATAATTACTAATTAGAGCCTTTGTTGAGAAGATGAAGCTGTTATCCTTTTTTGAGGGAAAATTGCTTAAGGGCTCTCTGAATATTCTGTAAAATGTCTTATTTCTGTCCTATTATTCTATTCTCTGCAGTGGTGACAGCTGCAGAGAATTAGCATATCCATAAGAATCCATAAGCATATGGATTAATCTTATGAATTATTTTAAGCTGGAAACAGTCAAGGCCCAAAAGACTCAGGAAGAAACTTTGAGCTTCCACCTAACTGCCTGAAAAAATTAGAAGACTTGTTCCAGGAAGGAGCTATCAACACAGATAATTGTCGTGTAAAGTGAACTAGTTGTTGTAGACAGAGAAATGCTGTCAGCCAGAAAGTAATACAGGAAGCCGCAAATAAGGAAAGACTTTATTTGGAGTTTTAAGAATTGCAATTCAGGAGACACAGATTTAGGTTACCCAGAAAGAGTGTTCCAAGGAAAAGAGTCAGGGATTGTTAAAGCCAAAAAAAAAAGCTAGGAGGTTGTTAAAAGTTGCCTAGTGAGAATTATGATGACTTTAGAGTCAGGAAATATTTGTCCATAAGGAATCACAATCATTTTAGGGTAAATGTGCAACAAACAGATACTGTCACAAGTTATTTTAGGGGAAGGGTCCAATTAGTATCTTGAGGTTCTGGCAGCTGTTTGGATGACTTCACCAGGTCAAAAGGTCAGACTCCTTCCTGGCTGAGATAGGCTGAGACATAAACCACATAAGTGTGCATAAGTCACACTTCCTTAATACCTTCCTGGTTCCATTTAAGAGCGCTCTCTTAGCAATACCTACTCCATTTTTATTTTCCTTTCACAGAACCCAACAAAGTCTGTTTGTTAAATTCCTCTCTGTGTCCTGTTGTTTATCTATGGCCCAGAAAACATTTATTTACCAAACATTTGATTTTTTTTTCCTTTTCCTGTGAATTGCCTTATTTTCCTTTGAAGTCCCAGACTCCTACCCCTTTCTCTTTAGTTTGGGATGACATCAGTGCAGTTCAGTTGCTCAGCCATGCCCAACTCTTTGCAACCCCATGGACTGCAGAACGCCGGGCTTCCCTGTTCATCACCAACTCCTGGAGCTTGCTCAAACTCATGTCCATGGAGTCGGTGATGCCATCCAACCGTCTCATCCTCTGTTGTCCCCTTCTCCTCCTGCCTTCAATCTTTCCCAGCATCAGGGTCTTTTCCAACAAGTCAGCTCTTTGTATCAGGTGGCCAAAGTATTGGAGTTTCAGCTTCAGCATCAGTCCTTCCAGTGAACAGCAAGGACTGATTTCCTTTAGGATTGACTGGTTTGATCTTCTTGTATTCCAAGGAAACTAGTTAAAAGAACCAAGAGAGGAAGGGGGAAATTGTCCCCTCCCAACAATAGCAATCCTAACACTCTGCAACAACATATTTATTTAGCTAGGCATTTGTAACCCTCTGCAACTAGCATGTTTATTTAATAATAGCTGGTTATTTGTTCATTGTATCCCTTGTTAGAATGCAAGTTGCAGGAATGTTGTCTATCTTGTCCATTTCCATATCCTCAATGCAGTGTAGGCACTCAATAAATATTTCTTGAATGACCAAGTTAATGAGTAATATTTGATGGAATGCTTTGCAGATAAAGCCTTATAAATCAACAATTAGCAAATGAGGACAACTGAATGGAGACACTCAAGAATAGCAACAGGTACTTCAGCTCTTAGTTATCAAACTCTCCACATCGGAATATTTGGAAAAGCCCTTAGTTAGGAGTGTCTGGATCAACCACCCGGATCCCACTGCTTCTCATCTGGACTTTCTGTCCATCTCTGAACAGCCTGAACTGATCCCCACCTCCCATAGGTCCAATGGGAAATAGTGATCTCCTTACATCTGGGTTCCATCCTGGTGAAAACATCTTTTACATAGTGTTACCCTTGTCTATTTATCTGGATCACTATCAGTCCCAGTTTCATCTAGTGCAAGAGCAGTGTCCCAGCACCGAGAACAATGCCAGGCATCCAGCAGGAAAGCATTACAAGCTGTTGACAAAATGAATTGTGTCAGGACAGTTATACCAACTGTAGAAGGTTCTCAGGCTATCTGCAATTGCTTAGGAACTTTCTTCTTTGCAGTATGCATGTTTCAAATGTTAGGTTGCTTAGTGAAGTGGTGAAAAGAGCTAGCTTTAGAGTAAGCCACCTATGCATGACCTTGATAGGGTGAGTTCCTCCACATTAAAAGGGGGGAATAATAGCTCCTACCTCACTGGGTTTTTGTGGAGATTAAATGAGATAATACATTGAAAATACCCAGCATAGTACTTGAGACATCACAAATGCTCAGTAATTTCTAATTGTCATCTTAGTGATTGTTACTTTTGTTCCATTCTTTCTGTTTCTACTTTCTCTTCTGCAGATCTGTAGTTTGCTTCATTTAATTTCTTTTTTGAGATTTAATGCTTTCCACTGTGGCTCCTGTTTTGGGTTTTTGGTTTTTTTTTTTAATGCCTTCTGAAAAAAAATAATTTTACTAAATGGGAATTCCTCAAGCAGCTACTGAGAAATTTCATTGCCCACCCCTACATTCAGCAGGAAAATGCCCATGCATGTGATTTTTCATTAGTAAGATGTCCTTTCTACCACACTTATCATCCACCCTCACTTTAATCAAATATTCCCAGACTTTAAAAAGCAGTAAAACAAACCTTTTGTTGACTACCTTAAGTTTTACATTTGACTCTTTCATGCACACTTATATTTGACTAACAATGGTTTTCCAGATACTTTGGAAATAACTATTGATGCCTCTCAATCTATAGGACATGTTTTCCATCTCCTTAGATAGTGCTTGGTAAATAAAAAGACATATTAACAAACATCTTTTAAATTAAGTGTTTTTAATCAAAAGCACATCAACTAAGCTTTAGAAGAGTAATCTTCTTAGTATTTTAATGATTTAGTAATTTAAAAAGGAGAAGAAAGTTATCTGTGAGTCAGAAGAAAATTATTAAATTAGAATTTGTA